AAAAAGAAAGAGAAAAGAAAAGAAAAGAAAAAAGAGTAAGAGAAAGAAAATGAAAAGAAAGAGAAAGAAAGTTATTAGAGGATTTTTAGGGAAGGGTATACTTTATGCAAAACATTAAGTGTTGTTTTGTTAGGGATAAAGTAAAGCACAGGTATGTGTACTCTGTGTATAGTTCAATATCAAGCCTGGATTATGAGTTGGACCCAGGATCCTGTTTTTCTAGAAGCTATACAAAGTTAAGATAGATGTGGAATGATGTATCCAGAAACTTCTTATTTTAAATTATTTACGTGGGTTGGAAATTGAGCTGCTCTGTGTCTTTAAAACCTCCAGACAAGGCTGGGAACCTTCATACTACTGACAGAGTTTTAAACAGCAAACTTTCTGATATTCTGTGGCCAGTGAATAAGGGAAAATAAACCAACAAAGGTTTGAAAACCTTGTAAGGCTTTACAGTTGTGGTGTGTCCTTGAGATAAATATTATTTCTTGTTAACTTTGCACCCAGATTTATCTGTGACCATTACTCCAGCTAGATGAGTAACAATGGTTTCTACCTGTGGCTCACTCCAAAGATTCCTCATTGCCTTTCCCATTTTGTAAGCTCCTATACTGCCCTTAGTACATCTACAGACAGGACGGAGCTGTTGTTCCTACTTCAGTGGCGATGAGATGAGGGTGTGTTCTCTATGAAGTCCTCTTGGTAGCCGTCAGAGTAGTTGTTAATGTCCCTGTGCCAGAATAAGAGGGTCAGTTTGCTCAGTCATTGCTATAGAAACTAGAATCCAGCAAATTAGGTTTGACTATTTACCTTTGTATTTTTACTTAGTTGTTGCTTTGTATTTTTGATGAGCTGACCTCTCCTTACTTCTAGAAAAGCACATCAGGACTTCACCCATGCTTCACCAAACCTAATCTGTGCCTAAGATTTGGTGAGAGGGAAATAGACTTTTTTTTTCAAGTACATGCAGTAAGAAGGTAATATTTTTACTGCTTGTGCATCATATTTCCAATATAAGTACTTTACTGGAGTGGAAAGTGTGGAGCTGCTGAAATATGGAGCACTGTTATAATTATTATTTTTCTTTCTGTTTTTTTAGTATCTCTTGTAATATATTTACACTCAGATCAGGGAATAATAATCTAAACACAGATACTGTTTAGATCATTCATTCATTAACACCATTACATAGAAAGCATAAGGCTAAAATCCCTCAGCAAAGAATAAACAATATGTTTTCTCTCCTACTTGTAGTCATGTTAATGTAATTATATATATATGTATATATATATATATATATACATATATATATAATGTGTATATATATATATAATTTATTGTTCTGTAATTGTTTTAATCTTACTGTTTTTTTTAGGTATAGTTGACATACAATCTTATATTAATTTCAAATATACAGCACAGTTGTTCACCACTTGCCCACATTATTAAATTATTGCCCCAACTAGCATAATTGCTCTCTGTCAACATGGAAAGATGTTATAGAATCACTGACTATATTCTCATGCTCTACTACCATCTCCATAACCAACTGATGCTATGGTTGAGAATCTTTGTGCCTCTTTATCCTGCTCCCATTTCCCATCCTCCCATCTCAACCCCTCCCCCATGGTAACCACTAGTCACTTCTCAGTGTCTATGAGTCTATTGCTATTTTGTTCATTTTGTTTTGTTTAATTTTTTGATTCAACAAATAAGTGAAATCATTTGGTGTTTTTTTTTCTCTGCCTAGCTTATTTCACTTAGCATAATACCCTCTAGACCTGTCCATATTGTCTCAAATAATAGGATTCCTTTCTAATACATGGCTGCATACTATTCCATTGTGCATTTGCGTCACTTCTTTACCCATTCACCTATTGGTGGACACTTTGGTTCCTTCCACATCTTGACTATTGTAAATAATGCACCAAGAAACATAGGGGTACATATATCTTTTCAAATGAGGGATTTTGTTTTCTTTGGGTAAATTCCTAGAAGTGGAATTAATGGGTTACATGTTATTTCTATTTTTAGTTTTTTGAGAAACCTCCAAACTGTTTTCCACTGTGGCTAAGTTATTTTCCTAATTATGCCTTTTTTACATTCTTAAGGTCCAAGATTGTTTAGAACTCTTCTGTATTTCAGGACTGGTAGACTGGATAGATAGGAATTTTATCTTAGTTTTCAAACTGTGTAATTATCTGCCAAGATCAGTAACTCAAAGTTCTTATTCTACCTAATCAACTGACTCAGGAACCTCAGTGTTCACACACAGTCACATGCCACATGACCCCACATTGTGGTAAATCCTTATAAAACAAACAGAAATGTCTTTTGTTATTTCAACTAAAATATTTCTCATGATTTTAAATTGATATATAGTAGTCCCTCCTTATCTTCATGGAATGCTCCAAAACACAGTAAACTGTGGGTAGTACTGAACCCTGTGTGCATTATGTTCCTTCCTATTCATATATATATATAATAAAGTTGAAGTTATAAATTAGACACAGTAAGAGATTAACAACAATAATAATTGAATAGAACAATTTGTAAGTATGGTCTCTCTTTCTCTCTCTCAAAATGTATTTTATTGTACTGTACCCATACTCCCCCTTGTGATGATCTGAAATAATAAAATGCTTGCATGATGAGATGAAGTGAGGTGAATAATGTAGGCTTGGTGATGTAGCATTAGGCTACTATTGACCGTACATCAGAAGGAGGATCCTCTGCTTCTGGACTTTGGTTGACCATGAAACTGGAAAGCCAAACCATGGATAAGGGCCACTACTGAATGTCTTTAATTGGCTATTTGTTAGTAACAAATACAATTTTTATAGGAAATTAAATGTTTTATTGAGAAAGAAACATAGCACTGAAATATTTTTTAATGTAGCACCATGTTATGATTAAGTGTACTGTCAGGTTGTCATCATTGCAAGAATAAAATAGAAGAGATTGTATCTAGAGAGTCAGATGTGTTTTATACTCTAGTAACCCTGGAAGTGTTTTAACCATAGTAAAGAAGCATCTGGTGATACCAAGTGGTTTCTTCCTGATTTGGCAGCAAAAAGTGGCCAAGAGAAAGATCTGTGTCAATGAGAAGGAGAATGTACAGAGTGAGGATGGATTAATGATTCTGATTTACTTGGATTTTTCAGAGCAATGCCATTTCTCATTCTGTTTGTGAATGATGAAGGGGAAAAATGCTGCTTTTACTGCTAATAGAGTTAACTTAATTTCTGAAATGATTTACCAGTGCAAAAAAATATACTGGAATGGATGATTTTTTTAATTAATAACTGAAACATTGTTGACCATTATCAATCTCCTACCTACTCACCTCAAATAGGAACACAATATGATTCATATAACAAGAATTCAGATTTCATTATGATTGTGTTTTATAATTTTCCTTCCATCATCTCTGTCCTAGGTTTCCACTATTAATCACCAGATTAATTTTCTGTAAATTATTTTGTTGACTGTGTGAGAGGAGGCTACTCATGGTAAATTACTGGTTATACAATCTGCCCAGAGTCAGACAAGTTGAAAGTGATGAATCATTTGTTTGGTTCTAGCTCAGTGCAGATTGAGAATAAATGATAGGTGTTATAAACCCATCTCTTAATAGTGGTGCTCAAGAAGATAGTCTTTTGGAAGCAGCTGAATCTGTTTTTAAAATCTTGTTTTAGCAATAGACCATAGATTTCAGCTCCTTCTTAGAAAAAGAGGAATAATAAAACAAATTTCACAGAATGTATTTAGACATAAAATAAAGTGATGTATGCAAAGCAGTTAGGACAATCCTACCAGAAAGACAGTGCCCAGTAAATGATAGCTAATAATTTTATTATTAGTGGATTTTTCTTTGTTGCATACAGAAAAAAATGTCAAAATGTAATCACATTAAAGAAATCTAGCTCTAAAGCCTTTAATAATCTTTTGCACTCCTACTAAATTCTATTGGTCACCAAAGTAAATATTTACCCTTCTCAAACCTGAAAATAACCCTTTGTTATTAGCTATTTTCTCTGAATAATTCACATCGTTTGAGAGAAAAACAATAGAAAATCTTGCTTGTTATAATGTTACTTTCTTAGTATGACTGCCAAAGCTATCTATATTCTTCCTTGAATTAGACATACTAAGAATCTCTCTTGAGGAAACAAAACATGAAGAAGAAACTATAATAATTTGGTTATATTTTTAAATGTACTCAAAGCATCTCTAAGAAAAATAAAACAGCTACTCTGTTATCCTAGTGATTGGGAACAAAATTGTTTTGTTACTCTTGTTTTTAACGTTGTCACTTTTATATTGGAATCTATGTACTACCATTTATCTTTTTCTGACAACATATACAGTATACCTCAGCTGGCAATTTCATTTTCTTTTGTTTTTATATCACATTAGTCGAATAAAATCAAAGAACTCAACACATTAATGTATTAAAAGCTTCTCTACCACTATTTGATATTTCCAAGTGTGGAGTTGGATTTTGGCTTTTTGATACTGCTGCAGTTTTTGATGTTTGCTTTTTCCTTGATGTCTCCAAATATAGTATCAAGAGAAAACTAATGATTGTACCTAAGTGTTATCTCTGACATATGATTTTCAAAAGCATCTCAAAATTGTTGTATACTGGATGCTTTTTGAAAATTCATTAAGATATAAAAAAAAGAGTCATAATTTTCTTAAATAAAAGGCAATTACTTAATTGAGGTTTTTTTTGGATAAGAAAATTTAGTCTTTAATGACATTATTTTGCAAAAAATGCTCCTATGACAAATATACTAGCTCACAGTTCAGTTCTGGTGTGTGTAATCAGCTATCAATTGTAGGCATCACAATTATTATACTTTTATTTTGGAGAGTTTGTGGAAAAAGGATTGATAAAATAACATATAGATACATGTATATATTTTAAATGTTTTTTCTGTCCTGAAGCCATGTGTTTTGTAGATTAAAGTGATTTTTTTTCTTTTTCCCATCAGATGTGGGTTCTGTTGAAGGACTTGCCTATCACAGAGCCTGGGATACATTGTATTGGACCAGCTCCACTACCTCCTCCATCACCAGACACACAGTGGACCAGACTCGGCCCGGAGCATTCGACAGAGAAGCAGTCATTACCATGTCAGAGGATGACCACCCACACGTGCTCGCCCTGGATGAGTGCCAAAAGTAAGAAACAGTTCACTCTAAGTTCTTTGTTATAATTATAAGTCAAATACTATCAAAGTTATGTTAATTTTTAAAAGTACTAACTTTAAAAATAAAGGTTCTCTTTGAAGTTCTCTTTTCAAAGTTCATAAAACTATTTTTTATAAGAGCATTATAAATGTGATTAAAACCCAGACTCTTTCAATACCAAATATCAATCCCAAGAAAGTTCCAGAAAAAATAAACTTAAATGATAAAAAAATAAAGGCATTACTGTATTGTAAAAAGGTATGTGAGGAAACCACTAATGCATAGCTGATTGAAATGATAAATTTGAACAAAAAACTGCTACTATGTATTGAAACTAAAACATGTTTCTGTTATTTAATTAAGCAATTTTAACAAACGGATTTCTCCACTTGAATACAGAGAAAACAGGTACCAACAACAATAAATCTCTGTGTGCAGCTATATTTTCAGCATTAGATAAATTGACAACAATCTCAATAGTCCACTCTGTTGGATATTATATTGTACAGGTATTTATGATAATATTTCTGAAGAATTCATGACAAAAAGAATATGCAGGCTATAGCATAAAGTGAATAAAAAACAAAACAAATTTTTAAAAAATCAAGTTCTTTGGGGTACCATAAAGGAAGCAATTACGTGAAAACAGAAGAACAAACTTTGGATTAAGTAGAAAAAAATATATATCTATGGAGTTCTAATCTCATAGAACATGGTGAGAATATTTAACTACTAGAAAGTCCCTTAATTCTTAATTGAAATAAGTCAATAAAAACCAATTTGGCTTTCACTAAGCAGACATAGAAGAGCTCTTTTTAGGTGTGATGAAGAAAAAATGAAGAATAACAAATTACTAATAAACACTGACCATGGCCACATGAGAGAAGGGTTACATAAATTATTCAGTGTGAGATTAACTGAATCTGAATACTCTTACAGAGCTAGAAGTGAGACTTAATTCACTTAATTGAACACCTTTATCTTATAAGTGAAGAGTCTGAAATTTGAGAGGTAACTAAGAGAAGGTTAACGCTTCACACAGCTCCAGTGACTAAGCACAGATGGACACAAGCCTTCCAAAGCCTGGCCAGAGCTAGTTCTGTTCACACCATTGCCCAGCTTTCTGTTGAATCAGCTATATTTTTTCTGAATTCACCAAGAAGAATCTTAGGACAAGTAATAAATGTCCTACCATTGAGCAAAGGAAATTATAAGACAATTTTGAAATAAGAGATGACTCATGATATTATATATGGTTAGTTTGAACTGGTAAGTGCTCTATCTTATATTTATTACATAGGCTAAAATTATACTTCCATTTTGCATATAGTGAACTCTAGAGTTAAACACAACAATATATTTTAATTGGAAAATCATACACAATTAAAGTTTAAAATATAAAAATATTTTTATCATTATACATACCAATGACACCATCAAATCACTTTTGCGTGTTAGTTGATACCTAGAAATTTTAAAGTAAAATCTTGAATTCTTGATGAAAAGAGACTGGATTCAAAACTTGGCCCAGTTACTACAACTTTAGTTATTCAACCCTCTGGCTTCTGTTTTCTCATCTGTGAAATGAAAGGTGAAATAAAAAAAACCACGAATATCTCAGATATTCTATTTTTTTTGTAAATAAATTTATAGAAATTCTCTAGTTCTAAAGCCAACCACCTAGAGAAGTACTACAGATAAAGTCTGTGTTTAATATCTCATTTAATATGCATTAGTTTTAAAATGTTTTAACTAAATTTTCCATTTTAAAAGTATCAGTGCATGGATAAAAGTACTGCATCACTTAAGAAAATGCAATGCCATTATTTTTTTGCAAATAGACTCAGTGATGGACAAAATATTTTTGACACTAGCTAGAGTATCTGGAACAGTTTTATGTTCCACAGGAAAGATGAAAATGCTATGAAATGTTTTAACAAAGAACATAGATGATTCAGGTTTTTCTCAATTGGTAGGGTTTATTTTTTATATTAGCAATTAGAAAGACTTGTAAATTCGATTATTGAGTAAGAAGTTTTTGTATAATACTAAAAAAA